AGACTTTGACATGTTAATATTTGCATAATCCTTTGTAGACATATGCCTAATGCTTCACGTATATAGAAATTGACATATTATATGAAAACTCCCATTGATAGCGGCTGTGTGATATGTTCTGAATTTGCTCTAGCAGCAAAAGCTTCTTAGTGTCAACGATATACAAGTAGCTATAGTCGAGGATTTGTCCATCACACGTTATCGGAACAGACGAATCGTTTGTATTAGTTTTTTGTGACATTATCTTGAGAGTATAGTATACCATATATTTAATTTATAAATAATATCTATATATATATATATTGAAATATAATGTTGCATAGGCGTTGCTCTATATGAATACTGAAGCTCATTTATTGCAGTTGAGTTGTCCATATCTAAGTAGAGTACAGCAAAAGTGAACGCATTAAGTATTCATATCATACATGCATATTATATAGATATATATATGCGCATTACCATATCTGGGTTTCAGATATATATACATAAGTCTGATTTGAATATGCTCAGCTTGAGCACTTGCTGTTGTTATTTTCTAATTTAAAATTATTTTATATAAGCCACAAATATCTATGTCTGTTCACAAAAGATGAGTTTAACTGCAGAGTTTCCATATTCAAATTTCATTTTCTTGGCATCTATTTATAAAATTACATCACTTGCTCTAAAAATATTTATCCCCTGCTCTTCCGCGGGGCTTAATCCGACAGGCATTTCATGAAGAAATGTTAAAATAATACAGCTGAATATAGATAGTAATAAACATACTTAGGGTCTATAGCATGCACTCATATATGGTATATATATATCATATATATATATATATATGGTACATATATATGGAAATTCTCGCAGCATGTTGGCCTTCAGCTTTCGTTTGGCAGTTGACATAACTCAACTTGCTAAGAGCTGGCAAATAGTCAGAAAAAACAACAAAAATTTCACTTTCTTGTGCATGTATTTACGACTATTGTCTAGCAGCAGACTGTTTGGCCAACAATTCGCTTTGAGCCGCAGTTGACTTACGGCAAGACCCCCAAATGAATGCAACTTCCACCTTGAGACATCATAATCTTTCAGCCAGCTGTCGTCGTATTTGTCAGCATGGTGAAATGCTGCAGCTATTAACTGTCGTACACGTCTACGTGGCACACCTGCCTGCCGCCACCCAACCCCCCTTCATGCTGCTCCCCTGCCACATGTGCTGGCATCTCTGTGAGCTTCTTTGTGTACTCTCGCTGTGTTGCACTAAATCAACAGCTTTTGAATATGCAACAGAAAAAGCAGCACACATAAAAGAATCTGCTGGCTGCCACAAGGCTGTCGTGTCTTTAGAAATGATATATGAGCAGTTGCCACTGCCGGTTGCAAAAGCTGTAACTAGTTGCAGCTTATTTAGCGAACTTTGTGCCTCGTCTAATTAGTTTCAAATGTAAACAATTACCACAAATCTCTACCCTCTATCAATTATTTATCTACTCAAGCGGGGATATGGGTTAAATATAACAGAAAATTAAAGCAACAAACAAACCAAATAAATCTTTCAATCGTATTTGCGAATCGAACAACCAAAACAAATCAAAGCCGCAGCACATGGAAGATCGCAGCCCACCCAAATCGGCGCCAAACGATCTTCACTTTGTGCCATATGCTGCTATAAATACAAATAATCATATGAATATTTATAGCTCGTGGTTGTATCTGCAACATTCTGTAAACTTGTTGCTTCACTTTCAATAAATCGCATTTGCCAGAACTTTCATTATAGTCCGCACCACATTTCATATTATTATTTACGTACATTTCAACACTTTTCCGTTCTCCCCTCACAAGTTTCCCATTTTCACGCCTGATTAGCTGGGAGTGTTGAAAATGTTGATGGCTTGAATATGCCCCGAACTGTGCCGCAAGTGTCGATTGATAATGTGGCGCACGCCTCGAATATCTTTTATATTACGTTCTGGCTAATGTTGTTTGGGAAGGGGCAAGGCGGCTGACCGAGTTGCGATTGGGGCGTGTCAACATACGATTGTCGATCAATTTTTGTATACCTTTCTGAAGAGAGCGAGGTAGGCTAGGTATGCATATATATAGCTATATAGCTTCTTGAGCAGCATTAACAATTGTTTATGTATAGCTTAAATATAGCTAAAAAAAACTTGACTGTGCCTGAAAAGTTTTCTGTTTCTTATGCTTTCTTGATTAAATTAACTATTTATGAACTTTACTATAATAAAAACTTTTCCCAAGCTGCAGAAGTCTTTGTTCCAAACCGAACAACAAGGCAGCTAGTTGCGTTCTTTCTCTTGCTTTTCAATTTTAATTAAACATGTTCGTTATAATTGAAATTAGTAAAGAGTTCAACGAACCTTTATCTTAGGAAAATGTGGAACATACGCATAGCCCTCAAAAAGTGGCTGCCCAACTTTATGATAAAAAGAAAACAAACATAAATGAATTGTCTTACGATTTAAAAATATATTCAAGAAAGTTTGAAATTCTTGAATATATTTTTAAATCAAATATAATTTCTATTTAATTAACAAAGTAAATTTAGACGCATAAAGATCGGCAAGTTCGTTCGTTATATATTAAGAAGTATCTTTATCTAAATAAAATACAACTTTAATGTAGATAGATTCAATGATATATTTTTTGGAAACTCAACTTTTTTTTTTGCTCCGCCATTGATCTACAGCTCACGATCGGACTTAAGGAAATAAACACACACGAGCCAAGGTTGCGCAGCTACCTTGCACGAGCGAAGGCAATTGACTTGAACTTTAGCGACAGATCACGCATCAATCATGGCGAAATATCAACGGGAAGTGTAATTTAATTAAATTCTCAGGGCTGTGCAACCACAAAATGCAATCAGAATCCTAAGGCGGTGCAGTGGTTAGGTCTGTTGCGTAGTTTGCATGCCACGCCCACATACCAAGTGCTCTTTTCGATAAAAATCAAATTAACCCAGATTCACTTAGCCCAGGCATGTGCTCTGTGTCCCCTTTCTCGAGTGCATTGAAGCGCATCCAAGCGCATTGGCAACCGGAATCAATCTGGCTGATTGAAATGTTGCACTTCAGTGCCGCAAACAATTCAATTTGCCAACAACAAGAGTCTGCGATTAAGCGTGCAGTCAAAGAGATTACGACCACAAACGCTGACCGCACCCACCTCAACACACACTGAATACCCACAGCATCCGCCCAAATGTCTGAGTAATTTGCAATTCATATATTCGCTCTGCTCCATTTTGGTTAGAGCGACACCAGGTGGCCAGGTGCCGCGTACTTTCAGCTCCCACGCCAAGCATCCTCATAATCACCTTCATCACATCATTATCATCTTCTTCACTTGACACACAAAAGCCGCTCAATGTGAGCTCTTTAAATATATTCATGCTGCTGACGATCATTGTGAGCGTTCTCTACATTTATTCACTTGCTTGCCTTATATCTGATATGTGACCCATTGTCCAGGCTGTGCCACGTGCCTAATGGACAGCGAGTATGTCGTAACCACAATGGCTCTGCTGTAAGTGCAACACTTCAATGGGTACAGATTCGATTGCTTAATCACATGGAAACAGATCGCTTCATGTCATACACCTGGTTCGATTATGTGCGCTTGCTTGAGCTCTGTTTGTTTGTTCTACTTTTAAATGGTTTGCTTGTGAGAATCACTGAGAGAGGCGCACCCTCGCCGGGAACTAGCTAATAAATGAATAATTCATTTGTCATTTTTAGTGATTACTGAACTGTCATAAATTAAAGCGGCAGACCGTTAAAGCCCACAACAATAAACAATTGTGTCCCTCATCAAAAGCTTGCAGCAATTATTGTTGTTGCTGCTTTTTCATTTTGTTTACTATTATTTAGCTGTTCAGTTACATAATTCCGCTTGTGCGCGAAGTCAACTAGACAGTCTGTTTCTATTATTACTTGCTCAAGATTAGCGGTGCTTACATTTGTTATAAATGACTAAAGTATATATATTCTAGTTGAACATTCGAAAGGCAACTAAAGCTCACCTTTCCTTCTATACAAGCTGGATAGTTGCCTATGCTTATTGTACAGAAGGTAGGGTATTTCCAAGTCAGGCAGTATTGCTCTTAACAGTTAAAGCTATGCTTAACTGGTCAACAGCTGAATCTCAAGTGAACTATAAAAAGAACACGTCGCAGATACGCTTAATCCTCAAAGCAACATTTAGAAATCAAGCTCATAATTGCAATGCGAGAGAGCTAAGCTAACTTTTAATTACAATTTATATTTCTCTTATCTCTTCACTTCCACTACCCTTAGTAGATGTAACGAGCGACGCGTTGTGTAGCCGTGCTATGATATCATTTTTCAAATGTTAATTTAAGATGCCTTATTATATTCTAATCAAGTAATATATTCACAAAATATAGTTAATACTTGCACGAGGCTTAACTCGTTTAGAGATTGATCATTCCAAAAATGATCAAGGTCAATACCTTTTTCCAAGTTGATATAACTTGGGTACCATCTGACAGCCAGATTCGATAGATTCATTTGGCAAAAGAACATTAGAGATGCAACATTCTATAGTCAGGTAAACTAAAGTTGAGCAACATTAAAGCGGAACGACTGAAGAATTGCCATTTATTCTCTCTGTCATTTGGCAAGCGTCGTCGAGTGACGGTCCATTAATCATACGAAGCACCCAGAAGCTGCGTCATTTGAAACGGGAAGCCACAGCATCTCTCCGCGCATCTCTCAACTCCGTGCATGCGAAATGAGCGCAGGCAAAATGCCCATTCAGGTTGTGTTTGCCTGCTGGCGAGGAGCGCAGGCCTCGGCATTATGCTCAGCAGCTGGGCAATCCTGGCTCCGTAGTGTTTGTGTAGAGGCCCCGCGGCCACTAAATGCACATCCTGCCATTAGCAGGGAGACAGCTTCAGCTGGAGACTGCGTCTCATTAAATTGCATAATTTATTGATAATTAAATAAGAAACTTTTCTGTCTTTTCAGGCAGCAACTCCCACAACAATTGCCGCAGATGAGGTGAATGCACTCCAACTGGAGGCGGTAAATCCCCCGCACCAGCGCTGCATCAATTAAGACACAGCTCCAATTAGAGAAAGTTCAGAGGCAAACCCAGCGGCAGCAGTAGAAGCGGCAACAGCATCTCGTCAAGATGCCCTCGCTGAGGCAAAAGGTCACCACGTACTTTCGACAATTGAGTTTTATAGCGGAGCCGCGCGATGGCCGGAGGCGCGTCAATGGCAATGCAGAGGAGGACGATGGCAGCTTCATCACCAAATATCTCGAGGGGTATGTGCTCCTTGACCTTTCATAAAGTATGTACTTATTGCTTATTTGTCTTCCAGTCGTATGGAGCGTGAGTTTATGGCCGGCGGGCCAGAGATCTACAATGGTCAGACCCCGACAGATATGCCCGTGCTGAAGCTGGGCAGCTATGACACCGGCCCGGAGACCATCACCGCCGCCTGCACTGGCCCGGACGAAGGCTTGACGGGCATCAAGCGCTCGAAACTGCATTTAAGTGCCAGCTATGCAGATGACATTGATTTCATCGATACGCAGCAGGAGAACGAGGATGCGTATGGCGTGCGGAAGAGTACGCCACCAGCTCCAGCGATCAGCACATCGACAAGGTTGTGTAACAAGTTTGCACGGCGCCAGAGCAGTACGGAACAGAACACGACAGGTACTGGTGCTGCTGGAGCAGTAACTGTTGCCTCCGGCATGCGGTCCAGAAAAAACTCAAAGAGCAGCCTTAACGCCTCATCAGCTGCAGCGAGAGAGAGCGCCGGCGGCAAAGCCACCACCATTGTGGTCAGCATGGTAAGCAACAGCAGTCCTGCCCAAGATCAGAACAACAAGAATCTCTTGAATGCTAAGACTGAGGCCTCCACGGCTGCTGGAAACAGCAGCTCGGAGCGCGAGCGGTTGCTGCGTGAAGCCGTCAGCAATCAGAGCAGCACGCCCGCAGCCACACCCAACAGCCTCTCAACGCCGGTGGCTGGCGTGCAAGACTGGCAAATGGATTGCGATTTCGCCTACGGAATCTCGGTATCTCTCTACGAAACCAACATGCTGACCAAGGAGCCTATGGGCAATCCCATCGCCGATTGCTATGGCTGCGTTGTGCGTGGCGATGCCGCTGCAATGGCCATGGCTGATGGCGTCAATTGGGGTGAGTCTCAAAGGCAAGCATTTTCGAACTCGAATAACTTTCTCTGCAATTTTTCAAGGTGACGGCGCTCGTTTGGCTGCCCGATCTGCTGTACATGGCTGCCTGGATTATCTGGACCGTGCCGTCTTTGGGCAAGCCCATGAATGTCGGGCCACCACCACACAGGAGCTGTTTGTGAGCCTGTTGCGCAGTCTGTGGGAGGGACACGGCTGCATACTGGAGGTGGGTGGGGCGCTCTCCACGCTAACAATTGCTGTAGTGCTGCCGCTGGACGGTGCAACCGGCAAGTATGTGGTGTGCGCCTGCAATGTGGGCGATTCCTTGGGCTACGTGTACTCTAAGAAGCACGGTGTGCGGGAACTGACGCAAGCATCCCATGATATTAGCTCCATGCGAGACATGCGTGATGCTTTGGGAGCTTTGGGACCCGCCGATGGCAACAAACCTGAACTAAGCAATCTCACCTTCTCCATGAGCTGCATCGAGCGTGGAGACATCGTTTTTCTCACTTCTGACGGCATCAGCGACAATTTTGATCCGGTCGTTGGCAAGTTCGCGGAAGCTTGGACACCAGATGTGAAGCTGCAGCAGCTACAGACAGCGAATCTGGCGCCGAAGCGTCAGAACAAAAGTGCCTCAGCGATCTATGCTCGCTTGCATCCGTCGGCCACACCGCCCACTCGAACGCGTAAGCCCAAGGCTGACAGCCCACCAAACAATCTGCCCAGCCGGCCCAAATACATGCGCTCCCAGACGCTGATCGAAGCACGCCATGGAGTTGGCGCCGGTGCCGGGACTCCAGTTGTACCAACACCACCAATTCAACGCATTCCGAAATCGGTGTTGGGCCTGCCGTTGGTCACTGGACCGCAACGGCATGCCCTGACGCTGTATCGACTGGAAGATTTGCTTAGTTATGGCATTAACGGAACTTTCTCTCCCTGCGCCTCGGCACGGCGACTCTGCCACCTGCTGATCGATTTTGTGCGGATGATCACCTCCGCACGTCGCAAGACCCTCGAGCAACGAGAACTCTTTTACAAGCTGTCCAGTGGTCCGGATGGGGTCAAGCGAGAGGTCCAATTGAACCGCATGCAACACAGAGCAGCCCGCAAACGAATAGTTGACAGCAGCGCATTTAGTGCATTACCTGGCAAATTGGATCATGCCACTGTGTTGGCCTATACCGTAGGTGGTGCGTGTCCAACTGCTTCTGATGCTGATGACGCTGGCCTCGGCGGAGGTGGGGGTGGCGGCGGCGGCGGCGGGAGCAACGTGGCGCCCGTGCTGCAATCCAAGGAGTTCAAAGAGACAAACTTTTAAGCTAGCCACAGTCAATGGCGTTTTCATCACATATAAATATACATATTCCCATAAATACGTAGTTTTATACACACATATATATATATTATTATTTACTTGGTATTCGTGAAGCTTTTATTTAAGTTGTTGATTTGATTTTTCGAGTTTGTCAGCCATAGTATATAGCCATTTTTGAAATGCACAAGCAAACGACAAATTGCCTCAAATGTTTTAAACTACCAAAAAGAACAATTTTTACATAAATGGAACAATGTAAATCATATTTTTACACCTTCATACCTTAGAATATGCAACACTTACATGCGGCAACTTTTTGTGAATTTGTGCGGATCAAATTGTAATAATTGAAACATTTTTTATGCAATCAATGAATACACTTTAAGGCGCTGCATGTAAACGTCATAACGCACAGCTTGAATGCAATAAATAGGGGCTGTGCAAAACGGGCCTAAAGCAATCGAAATTGAATAAACGCATTAAAAAACTTAATGGACTTCTTTTGACTACATATAAAACTGTCTAGCTAGTATTAAGTTCATTTCTTTTCAGTTCGTTACTCAACCAAATGCGTTTTGCAAACATTGTATCTATATAAATATTTAAGTCTTCATTCAGCCTGATTGCACAACATAGATAAAGTCGTTATAAGCGACAAATCACCGATTCTTGTCTGACTTGATCATTTCAGTGGGTAACTGTCGCTGGCAGCCGTTTCAACTGTCGCGCATGCGCAACAGCAGTTTAGCAATTGTTTGTGCACGCACTGGTGAGGAATCCTTGACTAATTTGTAGAAATGCTCCACGCTGCACAACGTTTGCGGCTGCAACACGCAATGAACAGAATAATTATAATAAATACTTTGATATTGTTAGATAGCTTACGCACAATGGTCTCGGTGTCCAGTTGCGCCTGTGCCTTATTAGCGAGTATCCACAGTTTCACCGCCAGCTGACACAGCGGTTCCCTTTCTAGATCTGCATAGCGCACTATACGCATAAACAGCTCCATTGAGAGTTGAGCTTGGGTGCGCTGCTGTTGAGCTGCCCCCAAAGTCTTAAGCTGAAGCAGTATGGATTCCACGACCTGTCCACACAGATTATTAACCTCCACTAGGAACTTGGGATCGTGACCGTAGAGTGCATCATTGGAAACCACTAGGGAAAAGTAAATTTTGTTACATGAGGAGCTTTTTTTATATATACGGGGGGTTTTACCGCCATCGATGTGATAGGGAAATCTCTCCATACTTTGCACATAAAGCATGTCCAAAACATGTAAGTAGATTATAGATGGCGCACTACTATTCGCCTTAAAGTTTCTCCTGCCAACAATATCTAGCAGCAGGCGCAGAAAGTACAAGACGCCCTGTTCTGGACTGTCAGGCACTACTATTAGGGTGGCTAGCATATTGCATATATACGCGACCAGGTAGCGCTCCATGCAACGTGGTTTGCCTTCGAAGTCAACGGTGGAGGCCGGCAGTTCGTCAATCAATTGCAACGCAGCCTCAAAGCACGCATCCGCTAATAATAGCAAAAACTTCAGTCGGCAATTTAGTATTAAATTTTTAGATATAAACCATACCTTGCCCGAGACACAAATGTCGCAAAGCTAGTTGACCACACAGTAGATACAAATCCATCTTCTGCTGAACTGAAGTAATGCTTGGAATGGTTATAAAGCAATAAGCTATGCAGGCTTTAACGAAACCCAACGATTTGACGCCTTGTCGATTAGATGCGTACATAGTTAGCTTCAAGGCGGCATGCACAAGGGTCACGTAAACTGCATCCAAGTTGCTAAAGGTGCCGCGTCCCTCAACATAGAAGCTAAGCTGCTGCTCTAAGTCTTTTCCAAAATGCACTTTATTTATGAAACTGTTAATAAGCTGCGAAATCTGACGACGTTCATCCTCCACAGTAAGTGCGCTACAGATATATTAAATATATATGAACTGTATCAGTTAATATTGCATTCACTTACTTGACAGAGTCATTGAGTATCTTGCCAAGATACATGAGTGCATTGGTGACAACAGCATCACTAGTTCTATCCTCACTATTTTGCCGGTAATAGCTCAGTATTGACTTGCACATCTCCACCCGCACTGACTCCTTGTGGAACAAATCCAAATAGGGTAAAAAATGCGGCTGTATCAGCAACAGCTCAATGTTTCGATAGTTTTGCATTATTCTAGTTAGAATGCTTTGCAACTGGCCATAATGCTTCTCATATGCTTTACCCAGGCACATTCGTGAGTTCAGTTCTCCAAGCAAACGATTCACTTCGTGTATCTTAAATTCGATGTTATTTTAATTAGTTATGGGATATAATCAATAATTTCATACGAACCGTGAAATATTGTGCAACAAAAGGCGTCCAGGTTTCTACACAGTTTATATATTCATTTGGATCCGTAAGTGTGTTAATCGTTTGAAAGGCTGCATTGAGGAAAGCCAAGCGCTGCTCCTGCAAAGGTGCACAGTTGCTAACGCAACTACCTAGCGGCCGCAATAATTGAGATTTCGAAATACCCGGTGTGTCGCAGTTGTTGATGAGCTCCAAAAACTCATGGGCATGTGCGGCAACAAATTCCCCCTTCGAGGAGTTCAATATAGACAAAAGAATAGCGCCGCTAGGGAAAAAATCGTGACTAAGAGCGGAAATATTACCACAGTTACAACATACTTGTTCTTTAGATGTCTGCATTCTTTGAGCATTTCCTGTGCGTTAAGTTCGCTTTCGTGCACCAGACACTGCAACATATAGTCAAAAGCTGGCGAATATAGCTGTAAATAGGCACCGGCTGATATTATCTCTGGATGCAAATTGTAGCGGGCAACGATGCGAAAGATCTGCCGGAGAAAAAGTCAATTGAGTACTGGTACTTAAGAGTATGGACAACGAACCTGAGGATATATGATAAAGAGATCTGTAAAGTTGTCACGGATGTACACCTTGCTGGATGTAACCGGCACTCCGACGCGCACAAGGTAACAGCGCGCATAGCTGGACACCAACGGATCAGCAATGCCACGTAACTGACTTGTAAGGCGCAACAGCACTTGCTCTACTTCTTTCTGTGTGGCAGCAAGCAACCCGTAGCATTTGAAAATGGCCATTTCCAGATAGAGTCGCGGCAGTAGCTCACGTATAGAGGCAATCTTATAGAACCAATTTTGGCAGGTATCGCGTGCAGCTTCGCGCTCTCTTTGTAGCACAGCAGCCGATGCACCTGGTGCACCCTCCGCTTTTATACGCAAACGCTCGTAGACTAGCTTTCCAAAGACGTCCAAGATATCCGTGATAAGTATATACTGGCTGGGATAGAACTGCAACACACTTGTGTCCGACAGCATCTTTGCACACTGAATAGCTATCTTCAGAGCCTTGACGCGCTGATCGTTGTGCCACGACTGAATGAGCTCCTGTTTTAGCTGATCGAAGCGCTGTATGTACTCCTGCTGAGTGAGGTCCATCATGTGCCGCATGCTCCCATCGTCGAAATTATCCAGTTGCTCCAGCCGATACTTCACCTTGTCAGCCACTACCGTCTGAGCTTTGACTGCCATGGAAGGAAATTAAATAATATTAACAAGTACAGTAAATTAATTTATATTGCGAAAGTAAGCCTTACAGTTGTCACCTCCGCCTTCGGCGCTGCTGGTGCATAAAAAACTGGTAGAAAGAGATAGCTTCTCATTGGTAGTAAAGCGGTTTAATATGCCTAGGCGTCGTGTGCTCCAATTAAGGGTGTTATCTTCCGGCTCGTTAATATTACCACGTTTAGACTTCAGCATTAGTGAACATGAATCATATTTTAAAGTTAAAATAAGATGTCTTTGTCTGTGTACTTACAAATTGAGTAGACATTTGGGTAAGCGGATCATTAAGCTCCTGGTCCTGGCGTGCAAACTTAGACAGTGGGTCAGTGCCCTCGAGCGCCAAGGCCAAGCTCAGCGGATTATTCTCCGCTACCTAAGAACAAATTAGTTGATTGTTTACAATTGGCGGATGATTGTTGTTATCTTACCGTGACGTTAACGGTTTGCTGCTTAAGCGGATGCTCCTGCGTTGCTTGGCCATGTAAGTAGTTTTTAACAACATGATAGCAACGAGGTGCACAGAACCTACACGTACATGTATTTTTTTATAAACAAATAATTATTTATTTTGTGAAGAGACCTACCATTCCAAACTCGCCATGTCGTGCTTTGCAACACTGTTAAGTGCGGCGAAACTCTGTTAATTCAATGTATAATTGTTGACATTCACAGTGAATGGCAAAAACAACATTTAAAGTAGTTGGCAACGCAAGACACATCCGCGCATCATTTTCCACCATTATTCCATAAAAAATTGTTTTTCTTAGAAAAGCATGGCAAAAGTACCGAATAAATGGCTAAAAAACACATGCAGAGTGTGCGGCAAATACGCCAGTTTCAAGAAATCATTTAAGATTTTCGATAAAGCCAACAAAAAGCTACTAGGCAATATAGAAACAATGACGGGCCTGAGGGTAAGTATGCTGTGACTCCGCTTGGCCAATTATTGTATACTATATTTATTATGTTGCCTTAAGCTGGAAAGCTATCCCTGTTTACCTGAATTGATGTGCGAGTGCTGTAATATTGAACTAACAAGCGCGATCAGATTTCGAGACCGATGCATCAGTGCACAACGCGAATTACTGGCAGGTCTCACCCAACAGCAACAGGATGTAATACCAGATAAATACAAATCACTCATAATGGGAAATGAAACATTGACGCCTTCAGGAGAGGAACATGAAATCGAAGCGGAATCAGAACCTGAAGTCGAAGCTGAGCAGGAAATTGAACCTGATTATCAACAGGCAGAGGAAGACGATCTTTCCAAGCTGTTACCACAAAGTAGTGGCACAATTACAAAGGTAAAATATGAAATTGGTCCTGACATCACAGATTTAATCGAGGCTGATGAGGACGATAATGACTCGCTGGTGGAGGAGACTCAATATGAATGCCTAATGGCTGATGATGATGGAAATATTGTAAAAATTGAGAACATGTCGGATCAACTTATTGTGCCTGATCCCACAGAAGTGTATTTGTATGATTCCGACGATGAGGTGGCCGTTCTAGATAACGTACTCGATGATGAATACGAGCATGAAAATGTTGTGAAAAAGTGCAGCTTGCCGCCAAAACCAAAGATCAAACCTGAAGATCCGCGTAGAAGAGGAGCAGGTGGTGTTTACATTTGCGAACAGTGTGGCAATCATATAAAAGGACGCATGGCATTTGAATTACATTGCCGTAGGCATCGTGGCGAGAAAGATTTCCAGTGCGAGTAAGTAAAACAAAAATATTTATAAATAGCTATAAACCATTTGATTAACTTTCCTACTAGAATCTGTGACAAATGCTTTTGCACCACCTCTGAGCTTAAGCGCCATATGCGTAAGCACACCGGAGAGCGCCCATTTGCCTGCCAGTACTGTGGGCGCTGCTTCTCCGACTATACAACTCGAGTGAAGCATGAGCGCACTCACACCAATGAGCGACCCTATGCTTGCGGAACGTGCGGCAAGGCTTTCACCACAGGTTACATTCTTAAAAACCATATGTTAACACATTCCGGGTTGCGCTCCTATAGGTAAAATATAACCAGTAAATAAAAGAAAATGGCTGGCTCAAAGCATTTTGTTCTGTTTGCAGGTGCGAGCTGTGCGATAAGTCCTTTATGCTGCCTACTCATCTGAGTACACATATGCGCACCGGCGTACACAAGCGTACCTTGGAGAAATATCAGATGAAACAACAAATGCAGCACGACCCGGCCCTTCAGCTTAAATTAGAAATGGATGAGGAAAGCTTACATATTCAGGACTAATGAAATTTGTATAATTTAAACTTAATACCGTCAAATAAGATTGCAACAAACCTATTCTTATTATTAGTTAAAATTAAAGAATGTAATGCCTACATTTAATAAACATTAAGAATTTAATTGCTAACAGCACTAACAGAATATACTCTGCGGTATTTTGGACATAAATTATTTGAAATTGTCTAAGCAATAAAACAATTTAAATATATATGTTAGAGCCATAAAGCGGGCATTTCATTTAATTTCCAAATACGTAGATCAATTGGTTAACAGCTTATAAATCCTTATACAACACTAGTATCCACAGTCTTGACTGTGATGGAAACGGGATTCCGCAGACACGTGAATGGTATTAATTAAGAAAAACAGCTGTAGCTTCAAGCGACGCTGTTTATCAAAACATTTATTGAACTCAAATAATATTTGTTCTTATTTTTTATTTTTATTGAAACAATGCTCAAAAACATGTGTAGAGTTTGTGGCAGATATGCTGCATATAAAAAATCATTAAGAATATTTGAAAATAAAAATATGCTTTGGAGCATTCAAGTTCTAACGGGATTAATTGTAAGTACAATAATTGAATATACTAATCAACGACAGACATATTAATGATTTTAACGCAATATGTAGTTGGAAAATACTAATTGCTTACCGGACCTAATATGCATTTGCTGCCAGACAGAATTACGCGAGGCAATCAGATTTAGCGAAAGAGTAATAGCAGCGCAACAGCAGCTCCTATCAGCGTTAACTGAGGAGGAGCTACAGGATGTGTCCGAGGAGTATAAATTGGCTGTAATGGAATATGCTAGCAACAATAGCCAAAAATTAATTAATAAAATCAACTCAGAACCGCAGTCAGATCATACGGCTATAACGGAAGAAGAATCCGAAACTGATAAAGAGTTGGTAATAAAACTTCAACCAGATGAAGGAGAAATAGTTATAGAGGAAAATAGTCAACATGAAGATCTTCTGGAATACGAAATAAACATTGATGATGAATTAATTAGGCAGGCAGGTGAACCGCAGGATGTCGATACCTTTGAAACAATAGACGATCTAACAAATGAGCAACAAAATGAACTTGTTGATGAAGCCAACGAAAGTTCAATTACCGAAAATTATATTCTGCCTGATAAGGATTCAGATGAAGAGTGTGCAGTTTTGGACAGGGTATTAAACGATGAGATCGCCGCCCAAAGTGGAGGAAAGAAAAAACGAGGACGTAAACGTCTGGGAAGTCTCATATTCGTTTGTGATGAATGTGGGAATCACATATCTGGACGCATGGCCTTTGAACTACATTGTAGACGACATCGTGGTGACAAGCAGTTCGAATGCGAGTTCGTTTCAAATAACCATGCAAATATAAATAAATATATTTATCAGTTTTACAATTATTTCTAGCATCTGTCAGGATCGTTTTTGCACAAGCTCCGAGCTGAAGCGACACATGCGCAGGCACACCGGAGAGCGCCCGTTCGCCTGTCAGTATTGTGGGCGTTGCTTTACAGATTACAGTACCCGGTTGAAACACGAACGAACACACACAAATGAACGACCGTATGTGTGCACAAGCTGTGGGAAGGCATTTACTACAGCCTACATTCTTAAGAATCACATGCTCATTCATTCCGGTGAACGCGCTTTCAGGTAAGAATTTTTCGGCAGAGAAAACATGCTATTCATCCGTTATTCACACATTATCCACTTACAGTTGCGAGCTGTGCAATAAAACCTTCATACGGCAGACACACCTGGCGACTCATTGTCGGTCTAGAGCGCACGAGCGCAACCTAGAGCAACAAAGCCAAAAAATTAAAATTAAAAGTTAATTGATATTAAAATTATACACATCTCCAATTATTTGTTTTCTATCTCAGATTTTCATTCTAACAACTGATTTATTATAGAATCGAAAACTTCTGATTAGAGAGTTCTTTGATTCATCCCGAACGAATGGAATTTTTTATTTCAGTTCTCAAGGCGTTTTAACTATAATGACATAGATTCTTATATGAAGCCATTTAATTTATAAAATCAGTTCTCATTTAACAACTTAATTTAAGCTATCTTACATTCTAAACACACGAAATAAAAAAATTTCACATTAAGTAGACGGCAAAGTAATATTATTTAATGTCAGACAGTTTACATATGTAAATCATTATTGTTGAAGACAATTCAAAAATTTAGTATGACCATTTTTTAGCAGACATAAAATCGTTTTACCACACTATTTAGTGTTTGCTGCAGTGTTGTGAGAATGGTAAAAAATAAACCGAAACAGCTGTAATGTAAATTACATTGTTTACCATAATATTGAAATGTACAAATATTATTTATTGTTATTGACTTATGTTTTGATTAAACCATACAATGCTCAAAAACATTTGTAGGCTCTGTGGCAAAAATGCCGCCGTACTAAATTCATTAAACATTTTTGAAAATAAAAATGTTCTTTGGAGCATTCAAGTCCTTACTGGATTAATCGTAAGTAATTTATAAAATATGCAGCTGGCATTATTTATTACACATAATTTACGTAAACGCAGTTGGAAAATGTAAAGTGCTTACCGGAACTTATATGTATTGGATGCCAGACAGAATTGCGCGAAGCGATTGAGTTCAGTGATAAGGTAATTGCAGCGCAGCAGAAGCTTCTTTTAGCGTTAACTGAGGACGAGCTACAAGAAGTATCCGAGGAGTATAAGACATCCGTAACGGAACTAGCTGTCAACAGTTGCGAGAAATCAATAAATAGAAACCACCTTGAAACTCACGACGAGCAGGATGAGGAGTCGATCATAGAACCCAATTTAATTGCTGACGAGATTATTATAGAAGAACAAGACAAACATGAAGACTTATTGGAATACGATATAATAATAGATGATGAGACAATCATACATAAGGCTGAACTAGACGTTGGAACTTTGGAAACAATAGAAAATTTTGATGATGAAGACCAATGTGTAATCACCAACGAAACCAATGAGAATATATCGGCCGGAGATTACATCGTGCCTGTTCAGGAGTGGAAGGATGAATGCATAGTATTAACCAGGGATTCCAACGATGAAATTGTAGTACCACAAACTACAGTTAAAAACAAACGAGGTCGAAAACGACTCGGTAATCTAATATTCATTTGTGATGAATGTGGTATTCATATATCCGGACGCATGGCCTTCGACTTGCACTGCAGACGACATCGTGGTGACAAGCAGTTTGAATGCTCGTAAGCAAACATAAACAAAATATGTAGCGAATTACAAAGATTTATTGCCTATCAAATTTCTGCCAGCATTTGCCAGGATAGATTTTGCACAAGCTCGGAACTAAAGAGCCACATGCGTAAGCACACCGGGGAACGTCCCTTTCCCTGCCACTATTGTGATCGCTACTTTGCGGACAATAGTACGCGGATTAAGCATGAGCGGACACACACCAATGAACGACCATATGCATGTGAGAGCTGTGGTAAGGCCTTTACGACCACCTACATACTTAAGAATCATATGCTTACCCATTCTGGGGAACGTGCTTTCAGGTAAGGTTACCATTGTTTAATTGTTATGACGTATTAGCAGACATATATCCTACAATTACAGCTGCGAACCGTGTAACAAAACCTTTAGAAGACATACTCATCTCGTCACTCATTGTCGGTCCAGAGCTCACAAACGTAAACGAGAACGCCAAAGCAAGGAAATGTTAAATACAAGTTAACTTGACTTAAATAGGCATGACTATACTTTAATGGTACAAACAAATGTATGTACTTCCATTATAGAGTCACGATAATGTAAATTAATAAAACACGAAAAACTAATTTTAAATAATTAAGTCATTTTCGAAGTCACATAAATTATTTGTATTATAATTTCTATATTCTTTGAATACATACACTATTAATTATTCCATGTGTTTACTTTTGAATCAAATATTGTTCTTTCTGGTCAAAGTTACACCAATATTTAATCAAATATCAATTAGTCCTAATAAAACATTAAACAGGCTAAGATAACTAGGAAATGTGAACCGCAGCTTCACTGCTTCAAAGGCACTTCAACGGTAACAGGAACCACAACTTGTGACTCCGCATTAGATTGTGGCAAGATGACTCCATTTAAAGGGTCTAAAACATTCAAGTTTGCAGCCGGCGGCTGTGATGCACATGACTTTTCCACATTCAGCTTGTGAGTATTCGAGCGATAATGAGTCTTCAGATGAGTTGGCCGTGAAAATGAGCGTTCACATAAGTCGCATCTGTGAGAAAAAGCAATAACAATTAAACTAAAATACAGACTGAAAGATATTTAGTATAAATATATAAATATATGTTGGGAATCAGTTATAAGCCAAAAAAAAATAGCTGGTTTCAAATAGCGTCAAAGTCAACTTTCAAGTTCATTAACTAATTCAAGCGGAAAATAATTATAAAGTAGCTAATAGATATTTCAGTCTAATTTCAAGAAACAGTTTTGCATTTTGCGTAAAATATGAAACTTAAAGCGCTAGCGGCAGTTCGTAAAGTTAAAAATAAAGAAAGAAAATCATAATTAACTATGTTCCACCCTACTTAGCTTGCATTAGCTTTGTAAAGTGAGGAAAAACTTTAAAGTTGCAATTGAAGGTAATTTCGTCTGTGTCTGTCACAGACAGCATAGCATTAATACTCCCTTTCTTCTTATATGTTTGTTTGTAGTTGCTTGCTTATTTCTTTTGAATGGTGACGAAACCGGTTTGTAAAAACAACACACACACACACACACACACACACACACACACATACATACAAGGTATATGTGTGTGTACCCTCTTAAAGACTAAAAGAGCTTTTTCATTGCTTAAAGGCTTGCATCGGTCTGTTCGACTCGTACGAGTCGTAAAGAGCAACAGTTTGAGTTAGGTTTGAGCTGAGGTAGGTGCGTTTCTTTGTCGCTTAAATCAATATCTAAAATCGGAGATATATACTAAATATACTTAAGTAAAGCAAGTGTGGAAATATATGTACACAAGACGATTTGCATAAAGAGATAGTAATAAATGTAGCAAACATTTGTTTAGCTACACGTCTTAATCGTGGCTCAAAGACTTGTTGATCATGGTATACAGACATTCAAGGTTGCATGCGAACTTTTCACCTCAAAAATAGCGAAAAATTGCAAATCTAAAACAATGTGATTTTTGACTCTCTCTCTTTGCATATAAACTCAAACCCAAATAAGACATATTTCGGGCTGAAGTCCTAACAAGAAACAAAATCCAACAGTTGACATTTGTTTAATGTGGGCGATACTTAAAACGTTTAGTCAGCTATAAATATCGATGATATCATTGTTAGCTCTGTCAGCATGTGTCGGCGAGACACCAAGATCACACATATATGTTGTATATGTTACAACTAATGTTTCTACTCAGTTTTTTCTTTTTTAAGCTTAACTTAGAATCAATTTTATTGCAGATTCTTCTTTCAAAATGAAGAGCAATCTGTTGGCAATCTTTGTGTTCACGGCATTATTATGTAGCACACGCGCTACTCTTAATGAAAAGAAAATCCTCAAGGAGAAGGATATGATGAGGAAAATTGTATTCGACAAAAAGACACCAGATGTCTTCTACTGTCCCATACAGAAGCCCTCGTCGATGAATAAAATAATTGTCACGTAAGTCAATATGAAATTCTATCATGACTTTTCATAATATTTAATAAACTTTAAATTTTAAACTCAACTAGAGCTCGCCCACTACATAAACTGTGCGAATACGAAGGCAATCCACTGCCAGCTGAATACAAATCCGACTGTTATATGGATATTGATGAATCCGATTATGCATGCAAGGAGAAATATAGAATTATGGTAAGCGATTACACAAATAGATCTCCGTCTGTCATATCATTATCCAACAACTGACCACGATGTTAACTAAATAAAGTAAATTAAAGAGTGCAGTTAAATGGACGCATAGAGAAACAACTCGAGTTGCTTACATTTTCGGCTTTTGTAATTAATTATATGATGTAATCTCATCTTAGTTTGTCAGACATTCGAGGACGGACATATGCATATGTATGTTTAGAAACCGTTTGGAAGTGTATTTAAATTATATAAGTCAATCCTTTCCAATTCCAGAAACGCATAAAACACATTTTTTCTCTCCTCACCAATTGTTAAATTCACAAATGTATTTTAAGAAAATATTTAATATAAGACTTAATTGGTATGCTCAATGTTCCCAAAATTGTTGACGTTGCACTTGTACATTTAATCGAATAAGTTTTAGAGCATAACACATTCTAATCTTAAGTTTTGTTTAATTACAGAAACGATTCGCCAAAGACGAACCCTAATACAATAATCACAAACAACACAACAAATTTTAACAGCTTATTGTACATTATCATTGCACCATACGCTGACAGCTTTGAGTAACTGGATAACACGGCTAAATATCACAGTTTTATCGCTGTACTTATATATATCTATATATATATGCATATAAACTCAAAACTTACAAATACACAACACATTTACCAAATAGCACAAACCCCAAAACAAAACAAAAAACTAAAACTAACGACGACTTATATTTGGAGTATATATAATACATATTTATATATATATTCATATTTGCAGTATATATAAATAGGTTTCGTAGTTTGGTTCAAAGGCGTCGAGAGAAATTAGTTTTGATTTAGTTGATTAAATGGAATATTTAAATAATTAATTTTTCAAATCGACGCCTGAACTTAGCTATCGTAGATAAGTTTTGATTGGGGTTTTTAAGTATATAGATTAATTTCATTACTACGCGCTATGATCAAAAAGGAAATAGACTTGATAAAAATGTGACATGGTCAAAAAGACGTTGATATTTCAACTGAAGTTAAGAGCCATACTCATTATTTTTAGACATGTCCTCCTGGTATATCTAATAGAAACTTGGTTTAGGGTATCCGGATAGAGATTATATTTGAACTATTCGCTTTTCAATTGTAATGTGTAAGTATATAACCTTTGGAGTATTTAAACAAATAACTAACAACATATGGAAAATCTATGTTTACTTAAGTAATTTAACTGTGTTCATTTTAATTCATTAGATGCGTAAATTTCCACCGGGCAGCGAAGAGCCATTCAACGGCGCCCGACTCAAGCGATTCATGACCTATAACAAGGAACTCAACTAAGCCTTGACAAACGCAGATGGAGCGAGAGCAAAAGAGAATTTAAATTATTTTGGGACCTGATTCTGAGCTGGTTTAAATATCATCGAGCAACTTACAGCAACTATTTGTAATTGTACATTAACTGTTTAGAAAATAAATATTGGTATTTATACACTTGCCTAAACAAACGCTCGCCAGTGTGCACCAGATTATGATTTTTCAGTATATAGGAGTTGGTGAACGCCTTGCCGCAGTGCGCACACACAAATGGACGCTCATTGGTGTGAGTGCGCTCGTGACGAAGTCTTCCGCTGTAGTTGACATAGGTCCGATCACAGTATCGGCATGGAAATTTACGATCCCCAGTGTGCATCACCTGATGACCCTTTAGCTCGCCGGCTGAGAGAAATCGCGCAGAGCACTGCCTGAAAACAAGATACATGTTTTAATAAAAGATCATGAACGTAGCATTAGCCTTGGAAATCTCACTCGCACTGGAAGGGCCTTATGCCTTTGTGTTTACGCAGATGTCGGTCAAAAGCTGACTTGCCCGTGACGTTATTGCCGCATTGATCGCAGAAGAACACCGGTAGCTTTTGTTTAGTGCGCGGCTGTTTCGAAATTGTGGTTTTCGCCAATCGTCGACGTCGTTTTGTTTCAATTGAAGGTACATAACTTTCATCCTCAAGCGAGGAAACGATCGCAGGTTCATTACACGTTTCTGTGTCCAAGTGATCAACACAGTCATCTTCATCCCCATCATTTGGGTGTTCCACTTTGATTAGCACTTCGATGGGACTCAACGGCAGTTCTCTATTCTCGCTTGCACTACGTGCACGGGTGCGTGCACTCCGACGTATACGAATGGCATGAGTAGGAGGCGGACTCGTTTTTGCAGGATCGGCCTTTCCTTTGGGATGTCGCATCCATCTTTTGTGACTATGCAGGCAACGCTCACGAAATTCTATGGCACACTTCAAATCGTTTTGGCAGATGTTGCATATAAGCTCAGGTAAATCTGATTTGTAGTCCAACTGCATGGTAAATTGAACAAATTACTTAAACTGTGACCAAGGAATCGGTTTTTTCATAACTTACGAAAATGCCGGTGAGTACTTTTATTTGTGTCAAAAGTAGACGCGAACTTCTTGCAAATAGATTTTTTGCTTTTGATTCATCAGTATCGTTTCCACAGATGCGACAAATATTTTGCAGCATTTTCTGCAGTCAACCTCAAGCTAATTGTATTTCAATCAATTGCGAATGTAAACAAAGCATCTGTCCCACACCCACGAATATCGTCAACCATTCACCCAGACGCGTCAACAGGTTGTTGTCGTAACACAACACTGGCTCAAAAATAAAACTTTTAATTGTAGGTATTCCCACTATTCCCCAACTACGTGTATGCATCTATTTTGTTGCTTTACCCTTGTTCGTTAATTTTAATTGTTTGAATTTGCTGTTAACTGCACGCATTGGTGCTTCTCAACGTTCTGCTTGTGGGTAAGTGAACGGTAATGTGTTCTAAGATGAGTTTTACGCTGAAAGGCGCGTTCGCAGAAATGACATCTGTTTATACAATAAGCAAAGAGTTTAACACGTAAAATTCCACTAATTTTATAAACTTGCCTAAACAGCCGCTGGCCCGTATGCACCAACATATGATTTTTTAAAACATAAGCATTAGTGAACGCCTTGCCACACTCCTCGCACACAAAAGGTCGATCATTGGTATGCATCCGCTCGTGCTTAAGTCGTCCCGTGTAGCTCAAATAGCGGCGATCACAGTATCGACATGGAAACGGTCGTTCACCTGTGTGTGTAAGACCATGTGCACGCAGCTCAGCGGCAGATAAAAATCGCGCCGCACACTCTCTACGAAATGTAATTGAATATGCTTATTATATGCACATATATTCCCTCAATGGAAATCTTACTTGCAGCCAAAGGGACGTTCCCCCGTGTGCTTCCGCATGTGTCGCTCGAAAGAAACTTTGCTATTTGCATGTGTACCACACAATTCACATATATAAATGGTAGCTTCTTGTTTGGCTTTCAAAAGTTGTTTACAGCCGTCTGAAGAATGTGATAATTGCGAGGGAAGTTCGTGTTTCTCAATATTTCCCTTAACTTCGGCTTTGATATTCTCACTGTCATCTGTGTCGATGTCAGTGGTAGCCTTAATGATGTAGTTTTGATCTAAATGATCTTTTTCCTCGACCAGGTTAGAGCCCTCACAGTTGTTTGTTTGACACTCTTGAAGCAAAACTTGTACTGTGTGCAGAGGCTCATCGTCCGAATCGCTTTCTCTATATGTGCTGACTCCAGTATAGGTATGGGTCTGGTGATTCTCTGCCCTTGGACTTGAGACTGGGCTTTCCTGTTCACTAAGAGATGTATCGCTTATTTCGACAGGAGGCTTCCACTTTTTTTGGGTTTTAATGCAAAGCCTCCGAAATGACATGGCCCGCTTGAGATCCGACTGACAACAAAAGCATATAGACACAGGTGCGTCTTGCGAGTCCTGCAGCTGCATTTGACTTATTTTGGTTACTTAAACTAGGTTTATCCCGTACACTCAGCTTACCCAGAATCCAGTTAACATTTGAATATGCCGCACTAACTTATGATTTTTGGTTTCGAAAAGATTTAAGCTTTTTTCACATGATTTACTTTTTCCGCATACGCGGCACATTTTCAGGAACATGCTGAACAAGCATCAGCTTTGGCGTTAAATTGAGAACTTAGAGAAATGCATTTTCCTGTTATACTGTCAGCTGCGTTGACAATCACACATAAGCGCTGACACACCCAAACGCTGAGTTTGCCCTTTTCGCTATAACGGTTTTGTAGTTTCAAATTTGACAGTTCCCGCCAATTCTAACAGTGTTTATGAGACAAAGCGTCGAAGAAAACAAAAATATTTGTAAGTTCCACTAGACAATGCTATTGCGTGTTTTATGATATGTTTTGAACAATGTCGATTATGAAACTATTTGGATTTTCAGAACTACTAGAAATTTTGCTGGATACAGAATGTCCCTCAATCATGCCTGGGAGCTGTTATTATCCTCGTATGATTTGATTTGGTTATGTTTCAGCTGCAAGTCCTTGTGGAATAGTATTTCATGACGCAAGGCGTCCGCCCGTTCACGCACAATCTTCAAATCCAAGAGCTCCAAACGACGTTTCTCAATTAGCACACGAATGCGATGTAATTCTAGTTGTCTTTGGCGTAGAGTTGGCAATGTGTTGTTAGTGTTTCCACTTGGTGTAGTCTTGCTCCCATTTCCCTTCGAGGTGCCTGTATTAGACGTTGTTACTGTCTTTGTGCGCCGCTTGGTCTTTGAATTGCTGTTATTTGCGTCAGTGGGATTCAAAAATGACTTGCTGTCGACCAAATTTAACAAATCCATAGTACCAGAAACATTTCTTGATTTGGACGATTTCAACAACGGAACTCGTAGCTCTAGGGAACCAGAGCAGCACGAATCGCTGTCATCGAATTTGCACAGGCGGTTGGCAAACTTGGGCGCAGCCTCACGTACCACAGCAGTCTGATAAGGCGGAAAAAAGCACGTCTCTAATTTCAAATCTGCAGTAGCAAGCTTGTGCTTAGCCAAGATTGCCGATCTGGGTGAAGGCTGCTCCGCTAGCAGATCCTTGCTGCGTCGATTCTTAAGGGACTCATGCGATGGTTTGTATCGCAACGCCAGCGACGGGCATGCCTTGTCGCCTAACTTCTTATTTCGTATCCGATCATACAAACTATGCCAGATTCCAATAGCACGAGACCGCTTTGTGCTGGCCAAGTCCTGCATTGACTCGTGCGAAGGCTTATAGCGCATTGCCAAACTAGTGGCTGATTTGGCGGCCGCCTCGTATTTCGGCAAGTACTCCTTCATGACCAGTTGAAATGTACCTTCAGAAGGACCCAATAACTGTGGACTGCTCGTGCCAGGAAGGTTTCGATCGGAGGAGTTTATAGACTCATGTGTCGGCGACACGCTTCTATAGTTAACCACTGAATCATATACTTCCTCCTCGCCATCACACACCTTCCACATCACACGGCGGCTGCTGCTCGATTGCGACTGTGTTGGTCCAACACCTTCCACTGACACGAGTTGAATGAGAACTTTATAGACTGAAGCACAAGATCGATATGAGATATTTAGAGCTTACCAGACTTTTGTATTTCATCCATAGCTAAAAATTCCTATATAACGGAATTATTTTAGATGTTATGTTGAAACCAGAGCCACTGTAAATCAGGAACAAATGTGTGTCGTGTCTTTTTTTCCGAAAACTGAATAAAGCCTTTCCAGAGAAAACGATGAGAGTTATATTGACAGGGCCTACTTACTACCCACAATATACACAATACACGATATACGTGTTTTTCTTATTCATTTTCTTTAATTGGTATTTTTCATCGAGTGTATATAATTTTTCATAAAATCTGCTTGTTTTTTGGTTTCTTTTGTTATAACTAAATTGTGTTACATTCTTTGGTTGTTCGACTATCGACTTTTAAAAATGTATGTTAACATTTTGCATTCCAACAGAAATTATACATATATATAAATATTTTACAATTAAAGTTGCAAACATAGGATTCTTTTATGTTAGGTGTCTTACTAATTTTAACATTTTTCTTCTCTAATGGGTTCGCACTGCACTAATTGTTAGGATGAGATTGTTATCTGACTAGAAAGGGATTATCGAGAAGGAACCACATAGGAGACTCAACGATCTTGAGAACTGATTTGACTAGCATTTGGTGTGCGGCGTTTAATGAAATGCAATGAGACTGAATGGATGCTGGGAGTGGGGATGGGACTGGTATGGGGAAACATCATGTAAATGTGTTAAGTACCTCATCATCATCATCTATGTTTCAATTCTCATCTACTTTACTTATACATTGATTAAGTGGCATTTTGAACGGCTTAGATTCGCTATATAGTTTAGTCTAGATTTATATAAAGTATTTCTTTAAAGTACACACATTGCCTTTAGACTTTTTCGTGGGCCAGTTTGGATTCTTCTGTATTCATTTCGCTTGTTACGGTTTTAACTTTCATTTCAATTGCTGAATAAACTAATTTGTTGAATTTACATGTTTCCTTTTTCTTTTTCACTATGCAACAATATATTATCATTGGGGTTTTGCTATTACAATTAAGTACTAATGCTTTAAGAGTTCGAGACATTAATTTTGTTTTTCTATAATAATTTTCACACAATAAGTTTGAATTCTTCTGGGTGCATAATATATAGTTTTTTATGTATACAAAAAATTGTTATACAAATGTGAAAATCATTCAAGTTTTAGCTTTTCGGCTGTCTTGTTGTATTGGTTCCAATTGATGCTTACATTTTAACAATTATTCTCATTTATATAAAACCGTTTTAAATACATGTATATATATATTTATATATACATATGTATGCTATCATAAACCTTACTATACACAAGTAGAGATGCATATATGTATATACTATATGCTACATGTTATATATGTATATGTGTATATGTTGTTTTTGGGGATCATCTCACTTCATCCCAGATCTCATGATTCATTTTATCTGTTTGTATATTGCTATTATCTCTATTATCTTTTAAAGTACATGTCGTACCGTGTAAATGTCTCGTCTTACTGTTGTTGCTTGTATGTTACTAATCATAAGTTACTGGACGACACAGTGAGAAAACGAAGACTATGGCGTACCACACCTCGGTCAGGTAGAGTGCGATCTGCAGTGTACAAAGGCAGTATTCCAGACGTAGCCTGTAGGTCTGCAGCAGCAGCAGATACGAGACGCCCAGAAAGCACGGAGCTGTCAGAAAGACCGACATTATGGCTGTCCAGCCTATAGACAAAAGCACAAGAGAAAACAAAACATTAGTCAAATAAAAGCAAAAGCAAAACAAAAACAAAACTGATAACAACTATTAATAGAAAATGTGCCAAAAAAAAAAAACTATGCCAATCTGAGCGACTGCCCCTGACGCCTACCTCGCTCGGCCAGCGTCCCCTTGCGTCCCATTATTAGACGCAGCGTCTCCAGCACTATAAAGCTTATCATCACCGTCGAGTCCTGGGCGAGCGTGTGACCCGTATAGCTCAGATTAATAGCCTTTAGCAGTCCCATGGCCATTTCGCAGCAGGCGAACATGCCAAAGTAGAAGCTATTCAAGTAGATTAACACCTCGTAATTCATACTGGGATTTGGCTTCTTCGGCACCAGCGGCGGCGGTCGCTTTGGTGGCATTTTGACTATCTAGCTTACACCTGTCTCGCCCTATTCCTGATGCGTCTATATATCTAATAAAATCACAATATCACTGGGATCCCGGCTGCGATCGCAGCGCGCTCACGTTGCTCACGTTGGGCGCTATATTTTTAGACTGACCACAATAATAATGTGGACCTGCTGTGTTGGCCATTGGCTCTGTCGCTCTAGTTGTTGTTGTTGTCGTTGTTGTTATTCTTGCCGTTGTCGCTGCTCATTTTGTTGTTATTTATTTGAATTATGTGCTGGTCGTTGTCGCCTTTGGGTGCTTAAAATCTGTTTCTTAGTTGCGTTTACCGCATTGCTTTGGTCAGAGATACCCAATTAATGACCTGCTCCTAGTTGACAATTGACAATTGAACAATGTAAAAAGAACTTTAACTTTACCAAGCTGAACTTTACATAAATTACTTTAAAAATATTTAAATAAATAAATTATCTTTTTACTCTTAGTAGAAATTTCGCAAAGTTTTTAAACTACCTTGAGTGCTGTCTGAACAATTTTCTATTATTTCATGTTTAAACAATTTGTTTAAAATATAAAAACAAAAAGAACCTATTATTGATTTAAATAGTACTAACAAATTTTATCATTTTATATTAATATTTAACTCTTGTTAGCCGTCCCTAGATTAGATTAAATGTTGCTCTGTTACAGCTGCTGTATATTAGTTGATGTTTTGATGTTGCCCCACAAGGTGTCTAGCTGGCCTAAACCAAGTAGCAGGCGCTCGATTGGCTTCGTATATACGAGTACTATTACAGTTGAATTAGAATTAGAAGTGTATATTGCACCTATGACGAGCGGCGACAACGATGCCAAGCGGCGCAGCGACGGCTGCACAAACGACAACGACTACTTATGTGAAGAGTGTATATAATTTTAGATCATTATAAGCGTATAAAAATACGCCAACAACGAGCGAGTCCGAGTCAAATGCGGCGGGCGACAAAGGCCGGTCAAAAGAATGCGCTCTGAATTCAAATCAAATGCCGCTTTTAATCGAAACGGACGAGTCGCGTCGGGTTATAGTGTTTTACACGTAATAGACCTTATATAAGATATGGTTTTTCATACGAACCTCGATAGTAAATCGTTTGCTCAGCTCCTCCATGGATCCAAGTGATTTTTGTTGCCTTTCGGTATTTTGTGCTGCGAGGACTGACTGAAGGAATACGCCAGCGTATTTGCGGTTGTTCTTCTATAATATCTTGTCTTCCACATAGACCTCTTCGATAAGTGTTGTAGTTCCTTAAAGTCGTTGGCTATGTGTGTGTGTGTGTATTGTGACTGTGTGTGTGCGTGTAGTTTGGCGGCTTAGCCTACATCAAAATCGCTCAACTTAAATGTAAACTGCCTGACGTAATTATACCAAATGATGCGTTGTCGTCGTCGTATTGCTCCATCCCCAGCAGCAACTGCCAGTCGCATTCGCGGTTCAAGCAATGCTGCCGTTGGCTTGGCCATGGACATCGACGTGGCAACGTTGACCAACTGCTAGGTGTATGTAACGGGTCGACACATTGTACAAATGAATATGCTGGCGTAGACTAGTTCAGCACCTTGTAGGGTGATCATTAAGGCACTCAGAATAATTTCGAGTTTAAGAACATAAGTTTGAAAACAACATAAATAGGTGACAATACCAAGACTGGGCAGTGTTAATATTACGGATGCGGTTGCTTGCCAGCCTGTGAAAAAGAAAACAAAAACAACAAAAAACGATTAGTACAATTGTTGAAAAGGCATCTAAATGTAAATTATATATATAGTCTAAATAACTTCTTCATTTGTATTTCTTTGCCATAATCTTAGAGTTTTCATTTGTGTTTTCTCACACAGCCTGTTGAAGACGAAACTTAGCTGTTCGCTCGATTCAATTATATAATGAGTTCACCCTAAAATTGAGGTCTTTGAACTCTTCAGTTTGCTTCTTAAGTGCTATTGAACATATTGTTCAGCTTCCGTTGAGAAATATTCTAAAAATTTTGAAAACACTTCAAAGCCAGCACGCAATCCTTTGTTGTTGCACATACGTATCTATAGATACAGGCAAAATTACGCATACGCCATGTTGAGTGTGAACACGTTTATGAGCTTTGGGGGTTGAGGCGATGAGAGTGCACAGGGGTGAGAATATAGAAGAATGGTGACGCTTGTCGCGCCATAAGGACCGCAACAAATAATTTGAGCGTGTCATCATAGCAGCCACGTTTAACACCCCCAAAGAGCTAATAGCTAAGAACTAACAGCCTCCAGCACTAGCTCTTGGGTCAACTGTTGAGTTGTCCGCACTGCACAGCTCATTAAGTAAACAAATACAAATGGTAAACATAAAAGGAGCAACATCTAATACATGTGAGTGTGCTGGTGTGTGTTGTTTGTCGAAGTGGAGGTAAATTTGACTTCATCCTCCAGTGGATTACTCACCACGATCGCTGAGGCTGCTTTTGCGGCCGAAGACAATGCGCAGCGTTTCGATGATGCACAACGAGAGCAGAATCGTTGCCTCACGTGACAGAACGTTTTCGCCATAATTCAGATTGATTGCCTTTAGCACGCCCACGCCCACCTCGAAGGCGGCGTACATGCCAAAATAGAACGAGTTCAAATACATGAGTATCTCATATATGAGGCTGGCATTCATATTTTTGCTGTTGTTGTTGCTGAGGCTGCTGCCGGTTCTATTGTTCTGTTTGTATCGCTGCCGTCGTCGTCGCCGTCAACCTAGGGCAGAGCCTGCCCTTCGTTGTCCGTTGTCACCGGGGCAGCTTGAAGCAGCAGCAGCAGCACTGCTGATGTATGAAGAGATGATGTTTGCTTTAAAGTTTTTGTTGTTCGTGTTATAGCTAAGTGACCCAGGCAGTAGCAGCAGCAGGTGGCTCATACACACACACACATGCTCTCATACATATGTGTATAATATATATGTATATGTATATAAATATATATATATATATATATATATATATATATGTATGAGGGGATGTGTGCCTGTGTGCGTGGCTTTGGGCGGGGAACTGGAACTGTTTTGCCTTGCGTTGATGGCGCTCCGCTCTCGGTGTATTTTTAATTGTGTCTGCCCATATGCATATTTATTTTATCGCCTTATCGTTTTCTGTTTTTGTTATTGCTGCTACTGCTGATGTTGTTATTTGTCGTTGTCATGGAAGTCTCCTTGTTGCGCTGGTAACACAGTAACACAACGTATTTTTGTGCATGTGTGTATGTTCCACTATTAAATATTTGCGTGGAATTTGTTAAAAGACAACAACGGCACTTATATAAAATCCAATTTAGTATTTGCTGCTCCGCTCTCACACACGCACACAACAACAATACCGCGTAACTTTATGAACGCACACAAACACAATTGACTGACAAAGGACTGGACTGGCACACCATGAACATGAGACAGCTCTCTTTTTTGGAAACCTATTTGGGGTTTCACGTAAATAATTTCCAAATTTTTAGCTTTTATGGTGCTGTTGTACTTTGGCTGCACATGTGGAGTATATTTGGGTAGCTCATAAGTGAGCGAACAAACGAGTTATTCACTGAACTAAGCAAATGAGCTTGTTCTTTTCTACATTTCAGAAGTTCCTTTTGCACAATAGTTCCAGTCCGCTGTCAGACAATTAACATTCTGGAAATCGAATTTTAAACTTATTCAATATTCCAAGATATAAATTAGTGAGTCGTACCTTCGTTATCGATATGCACATTTTTGAATTAGTTTCAATCTGTAATTAAAGATTAAAAATAGTAAGCAAAGGAATAGTTATAGAAACCTTTTTTGATTGAATTATGCCTAAAATTAAATATTAAAGTCTTACGTCAACTAACATATGTAAAGCAAGAATTCTAACTTGACTTTGTTGCTAAGCTAATGTTTCCATTATTTTTCACCTTTAGATATATTAAAATAAGTAACGGCAAATCTCAAAATCAACATTAACCTCAATCAGCAATCTGCACTTGGACTCTGTTAACTTCGTGGATCCGGATATAATTGCTAAAATCACTAATATATCAAATAGTTTAACTACTTAAGAATTATAAATTATAAATATAAATACCTGCTTTTATACTTTTTGTACATTTTTTGTTTTAAATTACTTAAATAAAGAATATTTTCTTAGTCTTGAGGCATATATATATTATATTTCATACGAAAAATGAGTGATAATTTGCTTATTGTATTTGTAATAAATGCGTACTCGAAAACACCAGTATCAAGGGTACAAGTTTCAAATCAAACCGTAAGCAATTTTACACGTTATATTTAAGGCGAAGTTTATATGCGATATTAACATTTTGCATATCGATGTTTAAAATAAATCGTATTTTTCCCGATGACCATCTCTTATATTCGTATCATGCTCAATTGGTACTGTTAGGCAAGCTTTATTTCTAGTTTTCAACTTACTATACTTAATAATACTGTTAAGCTTCATCTATTTTATTTCTTTAGGTACCAACCTAACCTTACGATAATACCAAAACATGGACGCATAATGATATTTCCTATCTGTCGAAACTAAGTAAAATGTAAAGTAAACCCAAAAAACTAGAAAATCAAAACCAACTTTGATTTTGGATGCAGAAAACATAATTTCTAGGTTTTAAATTATACGCGAACAGCCAGCCAACCTATGTTGTAAAAAAGCCGTATTACATTTTGAAATTCGATTTTGCAAGCTTTCCAGCACAGGCTGTATTGCTCAACACTGGCAGCCTGGGACAGCTGTTTACTCTGTTTTGTCATTTGTTGTTGTATTTTTTGCTACACATAAACATTAAATAAATGATAATATAAAAATAGTCAAAGAAAACGTTACCTGTTTATTGTTTGTTATTGAGTTTTACCCAGATTCTAAACATATTATGCACTGCAGTAGTCCAAAAACTCGCTTCTGCTTTACATTCCCATACATCCAAAATTGATTAAGAAGAAAAAAGAAAGTGCTTGGGCCACAGGGCAAAAACTGAAAGGCCTTGGAACGGAACACAACGCAACCTAATTAAATTTCGATCAAAGGACGCGAACGCTATTCGGCAATTGGCAATGAAATTGTGCACTGGCAATGAACTCCAGACTTGAAGGCAGTCATCAGCTCCAGGGGCCTTCCAGCCCCATGGCCACCGAACGCAAGCAGAGCAGTCCCAAAATGGAAATATCTAAACTGAACCATGAGCTCATCGAGGAGTGTAAGCGTAGCCATGAGGATTCCATCTTGCCGCGCCATATACGCCATGAGCTCGAAAAGTATGTATAGCTGATAACAGATGTTTATAGACGCACGAATATATATATGTAGGCACTACCAAAAATTAACCGAGTTAGTCGTACGTTTTTTCGTCCATTGATAAGCGACCAATTACTGCATAATCAATATTTTCATTGCTATGGTTTTTGTTTTGTTGATGCCGTGAGGTAGACGTCTTATCAGCTGCCGACGAGTAATCCAAATAATTCAATCGTAATCGCACTTCCTTCCTCCATTTCAGGCATCCACGTGAGTCCCGTCGCGAAGTGGTTAGAAAGCAACGCAATGGCTGTGCGCCACTTTTCATTGCGTGCAAACGTGGCGCAGTAGTAATTGCCGAGTATCTCATAACCATTTGTGAAGCGGACATTGAGCAGCGTGGACACTATGAAGTGCCCGAGGATAATAGCTTTCACCATGTGACGCCTCTCTGGGCAGCTGTCGTATCTGGCAAACTGTCCATGGTTAAGTATCTGGTACGAATTGGATGTGACATTAATGCCATATCAGATTCGGGTTCCACGCCTGTGCGTAGTGCCTGTTACATGACTCACACTGAGATTGGTATGTTTTATTAATCTTCTTACATAATATAGTTAGTTATTTATTCCCTTTGCTTACGTTTTGCAGTTAAATTTCTGGTGGAAAACGGTGCTGATATCAAGAAGCCAAACATTAATGGCGGCACCTGCCTTATTAATTCGGTGCAGTCCGTGCAGCTTTGCCTGTATCTGGTGCGCAAAGGAGCCGACATCAATGCTCGCGACATACAGGACAAAACAGCGCTACACTATGCCATACAGGAGCATCGACTAGACACCACCAGAATGCTTATAGAGCAAGGAGCTGATCCATTTGCGAAGAGTCGTTATGGTGACGATGCGCTGCGAACTGCCTGCCTTAAGGGCGCTCATCAGATATTCGATTATTTGAAAAAGGAATTGAACTATTCAGTGGAACGCATCGCTGAGGCGCACGAGTTAATGGGTTCCACATTTCTGGACGAGCACAATGAGTCGCGCGTGTGCATCCTTCACTGGCGCATGGCACATCACATACGCGCCGCCTATACGCCTTATATTGAAAAGAAACCAAAGGTACCGCTGCGGAATGCTTATGAGAATGCTGTGGAGTTTGCAACTTTAGAGGAGCTAGATAACATTGCTACAGACATGGATGCAATGCGGACGCAAAGTCTGTTAATTTGTGAACGTGTCTTGGGCCTGACACACAAAGATATGTTGTTCCGTTTGACCTTTAGGGGTGCTTCTTATGCGGACTCTTTGCAGCTACAGCGCTGTATCGATCTCTGGCGTTTTTTGCTTGAGGTGCGCGTATCCAACTGGTCCATATTGCATTTCGAAACATGCTTTGCTGCTCAGGCGTTAGTGCGTCTAATGCTAGATCTGCACGTACGAAACTCCAGTAACTTGCGAAGCGATGCTCGGGCGCGCTTTATGCATCAGGATAATTTACTTCCCAGATTTGAAGATGTTTTGGGGGTATTTCGTACGCTCGCTGAAAGCGCCGTGGAGGTCAAGGAGCTGCTGCAAGTGCGTCCCGTCTTTCGGCGCCAGCAGGAGAACTATGACCGAGTATTGCGCTGTTTAGCACACCTCATCTATTTGCTGATCAATACCGTCCACACAGATGCTCAGCATAAGTTAATATTTCAGGCCGTTCACGAAACAGTTGTTATTGGGAACTTGCGAAGCGCCAGCACTGCGGACACCCTGCTCCACTTGGGTGCTTCACGACTAAATGTTATTAAAAGCGGTTACATCACAGAAGATAATTTTGCCGATGTGAGTGTGTCACATGCACAATGCACAATGCGCAATGTTAATAACTATATTACTTTGATGTTTGCAGAAGACTGTGTTCCCTAATGCGGAGGTTATTAAATTGCTCATCGAATGTGGGATCGATGTCAACACAAAGAACGAAGCGAAATCGACGCCCCTGCATGTAGCCTGCCAGCCTTACAACTACGACAACGAGGTAAGATCAGATGATCCGTTCATAAGGCATTTGTATAAACAATTAAATGTGTGTTTATGTATATTTCAGATTGTACACCTGCTACTTAAGTGTGGGGCTGACATTGATCAGCCGAATCGGGCCGAAAAGCGGCCCTACGATTCCATAGCATCCAATCCCACCAACACCATACCGTTGCTCAACTACGTCTCACTGCAGTGCCTATGTGCGACGGTTCTTAGCAAGCATAAGATTCGGTATAAGGATCAGCTGCATAAACAGCTTGAGCAATTTGTGCATAATCATGAACCGTGAACAGGACACTTTTGACGCATGTCTCTGTTAAAATTGTTAGAAAATATGTGTATTTATTTTGGCCATATCGAAATTTTACCAGTGTATCTTCTGTTACTTATTGTCTATCTATTCTATATATATCTTACTATCTCTACAATTGTTAACTTATTCGGCTAAAAGCAGTTAAAAACTCAATAACGAAACACGCAAAAAGGAACACAAATAGAAATGAATATGAATGAAAAAGTATGTGTAACAAAAGCAAAAAGTGTAAGCGATCAACGTGATATTAAATCTGTATAGGAAAAGGAACAAAATCATTAATATTTTAGTAAACTTACAAACAAACTTAACAGAGAAAAAAGCAACAAGAAAATGTTCTGTGCAACTGTTCAACTAGTTCATAACAATAAACTTTACACGTTATCTAAACTCAGATATATGCCTGAAAAAATATATACATAGAAATATATACATACATATATTATATTATATATATATACATATACATATTATATACTACATACGATTAGAATAACTAATTTATCACTTGTTAACAAACTGAAATTAAACTCCAAATGCAATATTGTAAAGTGTTAGTGGGCCAAAATGGACAACTCATCACACTAGTTGGCTTTAATATATGAAAACTGCTTTAAAAACGTTGCCTATATATTACGCACCTAAGCAAACGATGAGTGGGCGATCGATTAACAAGCTCACATCAGTTCATTTTAACTAACAATTGTATTCAACAGGTGTTGAAGGCAATAGTTGCAGTTAAAAAAAGAGATATATTCATATATACATATATAAATAAGACTATATATACGCATAATTGAAATCGAATCTAATCAATAAATGCATAGTTTACAGTTTACAGTTTACAGTCAAGCAAATGAATCACCTCCAAATGGCCTATCTTAAATAAACAGATAATGTTCACATATATTAGCTATAGTAATAAGGCATTAACAATCAGGACGAGTTGCTTCTGACTTATGTGAAACTCTGCCTTTATTAACGAGTTTAAATTACAATACTTATGCTTAAAATGGGCAGGTATAATACATGCATACATACATAAATACACACACATATATATGCAAATTGTGACTGATTGACTTATATTAAAATTAAAATATAAAAAGAGTATCCTTTGAGACATCAGAAACTATCAAGGAAGGCAGTCAACATTTACAGTGCAAACAGCATCAGCAGAGCTGTGAGCGTTGTCAGCCACGCTGTGGCCAAGGAATGCCCAGCGCTGCGCAGCTTCGTATAGCTGTCGACGATGTGGATCTTCCAGCCCATGTTGCCGTGCGTGAAGGAATTGTAGTAGACGGTGTCCGGCCACGTGATATTGGGCGTAATCTCGAGCAGCGCCGGCGGCTCTTCGCTGCAAATGTTGAGCAGGCTGCGATTGAATTTCTTGAATGTGGGAAAGTTGTCATCCAAGCGACGGTCATACTGATCCGGATACCGGGACAAGCAGAGCGGACCCGCAGCTGTGGGTTTCGGTCGACCACGACGTGTAAACTCTACGCCAGCTAGAACGCGAATTTCGCTCTGCTTGGCATCCGACAGACGATCGTAGCCGCCTTGCGGATCATCCGTTATGACCAGTGGGTGATAGTGTTCCGGCGAATGCGGGTTGTTGCCGCCACGTACTTTAAAAGTGTAGGTCAAGCCACGCTTCAGGTACAGTTCCGGTATCATGTAGCCATTGATATACCAGGCCAAGCCGCTCGAAACATGCCCCGTGATGCCCTGATAACCACGCAGACCGCCCGAGGGGCCCAGATAAGCGTTAAAAGTGCGCACCGTGCTGTGGAATAGTAGTATATATAACTCAGGTATGGGAGGGATCATGTTTGCTTACGCATCCGTGATTCGTGTGCGCTCCCAGAGCTGCACTGGAGTTTCCGCGCGTTTCGTAAAGCTGAAGCAGTCGTTGACCGGCTCCGTAGTGTTAAAGTCAATGACTATATCGCTCTTGGGATAGTATGTGTGAAACGCCGGCTCATTGTTGGAGTCCAGCTGACCAAAGGCCCAAACCACATAGTTGCTGCGATCCAAAAATATTTCCTTGTCCCCATTATCGGCTGGAAAAAGAGAAATTTAAGAAATTTCATTGATCATATTGCTGAAAGAGCCACCTACATGACTTCAGCAAGCGCCTGAAGCTGATTGTATTGATGCCATCCTTGCGGGCGTATGTATTCAGTTGAAAGCTGTCCAAGCCGCCGACGACATCATCTCGGCACACGCCCTTATTCTGACCGAGCACCTGCACGCATGGAGCCAGCGAGGTGATATTGTAGTCAACCGCATAGCCCCGGATGTCGTCTATATAAACTACAACGACATCGGCACCAATCATTTGACTGGCTACATCCGAGCCGGAGATGCCAAAGGACATGTAATCCGTTTGCGCCACCTGGCCAGACAGCTGGAACGTGATTTGAGGTCCGAAAACCTCCCACGACACCTGCAGATCCTTGTGCAGCTGCCGGCAATTGGGCAGCGAGAACTCATACGGCGTAATCTTCACCAGCGATGGCGGCACATTCAATCCATCCGGTATGAGAACATGGCCATAATTCTCGTTGTCAGCCACATCGTAAATGCTTATCCAATCGATGTCAAAGATCGTCTTGTCGCCAGGCAGCTCCAACTGAATTGTTTCCTTGTTGTAGGTGCGTATGGGATCGAGGCTGGAGGGGAAAAGTGAAAATGGTAAATGCTAACGGTCAGTCCAATTGGCATATGAATGACTCACTAGCCACGCTCGTCCGGAATCTTGCTGCCACGACTCGATGGCTGAGCGCCGACGCCTGTCCAGAAAAACGTGCGCTTGCCACGTCCATCGTAGGTAAAGTCTTTAATCCTGATAGTCTTCGAGTCCAAGATCTCAATGCTGCTGCTGCTCACGTTGTGATTGCGCTTCGAGAAGGTGCCGCCGACTTGAGTGCGCGGCGGCTCAAATTCCTCAGGTATATACACGTCGCCAAAGTTATTCTGATTGTTCAGATCGTAAACCGCAAGCCACTTGATCTCAGTCATCTTCTTGCGATCGGGCAGCGTTAGCGTAAAGTCCTTGTTATGATAACGATCCAAAATGTTTGTTCTGTGGTTATTCAGGGCAAGCAGAGACTTAATTAGTTTGCCTTAGCAGTCACTATTTCATAAGGGTGACTCACTTGCCATACTCATCGGGCACAATGAAGCCCTGCGGACCCGGTCGATTACTGGCGCCTGCCCAAAAGAACGTATCCGCACCGTTGCCATCGTAATTAAAGCCCACTATTAAAAATGTAAACTCATTGACAGCGAATACATCACCGGACACCTGATGATGATACGAATTGAGTTTGCCTAAATATTTGCCCCGATACGGACCGTCCTCATCTTCGCCCTCAGCGGCTGTAAAATAAAAACGAAAATAGTTCAGTAATAGGGCAGACCATAGATAACTTAACTTAAGGCAAATTTAAGTGATTTGAAAATTGATATACAAATTAAATATTATTTCATCAAAATTGTCTGATAAAATATAAAAACCTCGAGAAGTCTTTAAAAAAAAAACCCAAAATTTGGTAACGCTGCTGACTAATGCCTCAGATATTCACTCATTTAATTTACTGCCACTAGGGCAGAGTGGCAAAAACTATTGTCTCTGCGTTCCCAGTTCCGTTAAACCGGCAAGCAGTCAGCAACAGCAGCGCAGTCCGCAGTGGATACACATAGACCAGTTTCGCTAGTTTCTCACGAAAGTGAATTTGTTTTCGCTGCTGTTGTTATTTTTTGTATTTTTTGTTTTTTTTTTTTTAACATAACACGCATTAACGTTTTCTCTTTCTTTTGGTTGCATTAGGTTTACACTTGCATACACACACACACATGCATACATAGTACTTACATGCAGCATTGTTCGAGCCAAAGAGGAAAAGCGCCAGCAGAGCTAATAAGAGCTGTTGTTGCAGTCGACGTCGCTGTTGCAGCGCTGCTGGCTTACGGCCAGTGGGAGCGATAACAGGAACTTCTACAGCGACGGCGCAGTCGCAGCAGTGACAAAGAACGCCTTCTTGTCTTCTCAATGTCATTGCGCGCGTTTGCGTTGTACTCCCTCTCACCGTCTTTCTCCCTCGCACCTATAGCTCTCTCTTTAAGCTCAGTTATCCACGTAGATATTTTGCAAATCGTAGCTTTGCTTACTTTTTTTGGCTACTTTTCACACTCTAATTATTTGAAAATTAATTACCATTTTTATAAAGTATTTTTTATTGTTGATTTGCAGTTGAATTTTACATTTGCGCGACTTTTCTTGCTTCCGTGACGGATTCTTTAATTGTTGTCGCGGATTTCTTTCATTTTCTTAAGGTCGTTTCGTCATTCGCATGCGTTTTGCTTGTGTTATTATTATTGAAATAGTCGAAAACTGGTTTAAGTCGCAGATCCAAAAACAAAAACCAGCAGCGCACTGCAAAACGAACTGCGCTCTCAAGCTGCTCAAAACCGACTGAGCTGAGCGGCCGTTAAATCTGAGTTTCTTTTTGACACCGTCTGCGCGCAAAGCTCTCTGAGTGTTCCTCTCTTATGGGTGGCGCATGCTCAGCATTACAATGTATATAGCATACTATGCTATGCTATGCGTGTAACGGTTTGTATCGTTAGTGCTATATGGAAATTGCGAGGTAAGAAATGAGTGTTTCTAGCCGAGTAGATTCCTCCTGGAAATCAATGTTACCAGTGTGTACATACTTTTATTTGATTTTGAGGTTAATGTTAATCAACTTATCCCATATGCCATAGTAAAACAACCGTTATGAAATCAATTTTTCTGGCTTGCAAAACTAAACTTCGTACGTTTGCTTTTATTTGATTTACCATTTTTTGTAGCAATTCAATAAATCTTTTTTAAAACTAATCAATTGCATTTTTTTTTATTTTTTTATATTTTTTCTTAGCTGCAATCGCACATGGATTTTAGTTCATTTTATGAATGGTTTTTTAATTATAATTGTTTTGTAACTTTCTGTGTGTTTCATTGCAAAAATTGTAATGCGATTTTATTTACAAAAAGGCGTGTTTAGATTTTATGTTTAAAAAAATGTCCATTGCCTAACATCAAAATAGGCCACAAATTGTTTTGCAAAATAAATCATTTCATTGTTGTGGAAAAATTGTTGTCATATTTTGTGTATGTGTGTGTGTATGGGGTGTGTATTGTATTTGTCTGAAACAAAATGTACATTACATGTATTAAAAATAGAAATTTTTGCTTAAGTTTTAAACGAATTTCACACGGTTTTATTACAAACAAATTATTTTTCACTTTCTTTTTTATTCTTATTTTGGGCTTAATGCTTATGTATTTATATATATGTAACTGTTATTCTTCCTGCATTCTATTACTGTATAACTAGTTCATTGAAAATACATATTATTTAATACATAATTTATTTCATAAGAAGCACATTTTGTTTTTTGTTATCATTTATGCGTTTACATTCCACTTTTGAACTCGCTTTCAATGCCTGCCATTTCATTCACATATATATACATAAATATATAGTATATATATATTTGTATATTTATATTGTTTAGTTTTCTTTTATAAATAACCTAAGAAAGTCGACCGATTGTGCATGGCGGGACGGTGAACTAGTCGAATAAATGGGGCTTTAAACTTTACAAAACAAATATGATTTCAGGACTATGGAAAGAAAATCCACCAAGATGAATTGGTGGATAGAGTGAGCTATATATGTATGTATGTATGTATCAATGTATGTATGTTTATAAGTGTTGGTCTTGGACGCATGCACGCAAAGTGTAACTAAAAATAGCAATACTTAGCTTAAAACGTAGCGTATAAAAATAAATGGGCTTTTTAGTTAAGACATTAAATTATAGAAATTGAGAACACTAATTAAATCTTTAACTTAGGTTGTGATTTTGAAGCTTTCTCATCATGTGAGACAGCATATTTATATTTTATTTTATTTTATTTTAGTTTGTTTTACATTTTCTTTTTTACTTTTAATAGATTAAATTTAAGTTTTTTTTTGTTTTTTGTTTTGTTTTTCTTTTTAATGAGCATTTTTATTTATGTTTTGCGTGATTCTCATGAGTGATAACAGATAAGGGTAAAGGTTGGAAAAAAGGCATGGGCTAGGCTTGTTTTTATTCCTTGTTGAGATTTAGAATTATATATTAGAGGTGCTAGGCTAGCTATTTAAGTTTTTTAGTTTTCGTTTTTAACAGCATGGAATGAACTTGATTGAAAACGAAAATAGAAATATACAACAAAATATAGCGCACAACATCTGCTTAAAACGTTATTCTTCTTTTATGATTTCCGATTTTCCATTTAAACTTAACAAGCGAACATAAAACGAATGAATCTGATTTCTAATGTTTTACAATATGCATTTTGTTTTCTTTATTATATTATTATTTTTTATTTTTATGTTGTTTATTAGAAATACTTGGGCGCGTAATTAAGTATACATATAAAAAATCTTGGGGCACTACGTTGGATAATTCGATTGTTTCTTTGATTACGCTACAATGAAAACTAAATATCTGCTCTCTCTATTTTTCTTTTGTTTATGTTATCTATGTATAAAAATTTTTATTTATTTTGTATCACTAAGGAAAAATGTTACAAAGCTTTTGCTATGGCATTTATATGATTGTTTGTTTAAATGAGTGTGAACATGTGCGCGTGTGTGAATGTGTATATATATGCGTGTAAGGATCCTGAATAAACGTTAAACAAACAATTTATGAAAAATTTGACAGCGCTTTTGAAAAAAATCAATCGAATTAACATTTAAATGAGGCGACTGTTGCCACTGTTGCCAAGGCTGTGCCGAGGCCCTAGTAATTGGCGCGGATGTGTACAATGCTTGCGAAATAACTTTTAGCTAAAATTTATCCTGAAATATGAACAGATTATTAGTCGCGGCCACTGCGATGATATTCTCCTCCGGATGCCAGGCGGTGTGCAAAATTTTCTTATTAAAGTCCAGGCAATCGACGCTGATTTCATCCTTCTTTCGTTTGCCGCCAGTGCAAACTTTTCGTGGCTTTAGCACCGTCTTGGGCTTAATGATGTCCCTGGATGCCTCCAAGGTAACATCCTTTTTCGAGTTACGATCAAAGACCCGGAAAAAGTTATTGTAACTGCCGGTCATTATGGAGCTATCCTTGCCATTCCAACAACACTCAAACTTGTCAAAGATGCAGTCGTTCTCATACAGAGAGCACAGCTTAGCCCGAAGATATTCATGTACCTGTAATGATCATAGTATTTAATTATAATTTGATTGGAGCGAGATATAACCTGATTCACTACTCACCGGATAGGTCTCAATTGGTTTTGTTTCCATGTGCAAATCCCACACCTTGATGCTTAAATAGTCCCTGGAGATCATGTAGCGGCCTGAATTGCTTAACTTGACATCACTTATGGAGCTGATTATCTCGCTAAAGAAACTGCGATTCGTTGGATTTTCGGGCTCCTCGAATTGTTTGCTATGGCGATCACATAGCGCCGCCGATCGCATATCACATAATCGTATTGTGCCCTTGGAGCTGGAGTAGACAAACACATTGCATTCGGTCGGATGGAATTCCGCTGCGGTAATCACTTCCGTTAGCTCCTCCATGTTGGTTGGCTTGATGTCAACAATGTTGTAACTCTGATTGACCACCTCCAGATGCCAGAGGTTAATGCGCAAATCGTCGGCCGATAGGAAAGTCTCTTGATCAGAATTAACGCTAATTGAATTGATGTGATAGGTGTGTGCATTGGCAAAGGTGCGACGTGGCGAGGCCTCAACCATAAGCGGTACTTGCTTCACAGAAGGAACTCGTAAGGCGGTTACATTTTGTGGATCTCTTATGAGACCGTTCTCCTCTTTTGTGTTGTAGCCCTCGAATGACTTATCGCGCTCACTGACCTTCCACAATTTCACCGTCTTATCATTGGTGGAGAGCAGAAAGTGCACGGGATTCTTTTGATGCAGCCATCGTATCTTATTGATTTTCTCCTCGATTTCCAGCGATTTAAGATAATCAAATTCAGGCTCGTGCGACTGGAATGTCGAATAGACATTATATTCCCCGCGTCTCGGATTAGCGGTTTTCGAGGCAGGATCACGCTGCAAGCCAAAAATAATTGTTAATAAATAAATTCACTAAATTACAATTTATATTTACCTGAAAGATGACGACGCGACCGCCTTTATCACCCGTGGCCAGCAGTTCGCCATCGTGATTGAATTCCACGCAGGATATGATATCCGCATCGGTGACATCATCGTCTAAGGCGCCCTTGATCTGTGAGAAGCACCAGGACGCCTCTCCATTACCTGTCGACAGAAAATAAAGAGATATTCAAAAATTAAAAAGAAAGATTCAATTTCACAATTTCCCATCACATCAGATTGCTCAACTCAAAGGACCAAATAAGTGCTTGTTACATTTGATTTTCCTCTCGCCCAGACACAATCAATAGCTGTAGCTGCCAGAGGACAATGATGACGTCTGCTGTGTATGTCCTGCTTGCTTGCCTGCCTCCCAGCCAACCGGCACAACAAGCAGCCCGCCTGCCAGTCTGCCCTTCTCAAATATTTACTAATGACGCCATTTCCAGCCACTGTCCGCATTCAGCTTTCGGCTTTAAATTGCTTTAAGCATTGCGCTGCTGCTGGCCATAAGTATGGATATATGGGACTTATTCATGCACCCATCGATAGCTCTCTGCTGCTTCTTTTTTTCTCATGTTTAGCAGCCACTTTGGGCGCTTGCCGCACGTTGTTGTGTAAACGTTGTCGCTGTGCAAAAGGTTTTCATTTCGCAAATGTTTTTGGCTCTTTTCCTTTTTTATATACTACTTTTTCTCGTCCTGCTTCTGTTCTGTGCATTGTTTACAATTTCAATGGATGGCAACATCGAATATCAATTTCACATATTGCACGTATGTGCAACAAACTTTTTTGCTTCTCGTAGTTTAATGCAAATAAGAGACTATTTCTCATATAATATAGCCAATATAGTATGTTATATAGTAAAGTATGATTTAGGACAGTCGAATTTTTTACATTTTAAGTCAGACTTTAAGATAATAAAGGTTTCATTTACTGAAAACTGAATACTGGATGAGTTTTTTCAACTAAATACTTATTTATAAGGCAACTACTACTTCTAACACAACAACAACTACTTAAAGTTTAAACATATATTACCTAGGTGACGCATTGGCTACATATTACATACAAATACAAGTACTGGGTATTTAGAAGTCGTGCCGTATCTTGCTGCTACTCTTTCGACATGTTCTGTTGCCTGTCCTGGCCAGTGATTGTCTGTTTTGCACATGCTGTCTGTCTATCTAGCTCACATTCTGTGCCTATTACGCGATTGTTCAAAGAGCCACAGGCGACGTCATGATATGATTGACGAGTCCGAGCTATGCTCCAATGACTATAATAGGA